ATAATTTAAATTTTAATTATTATTAAAATATTAAATCTATCTAACAACTCATTAATAAGACTTAATTCTTGTAGAGGGTTTTATTACCTTTGTGCAGTGAATTATCACTAATAATCTATCATAGTCAAATCACTCTGCCCTTTTTTCTAGGCTTTTTATTCCTTTGGATCTCCTATTGATTGAACGAATTTTCAATTCATATTTATTCAACTCGATTGTGACTGTTAAAGAATGTCCTCATGGCTCTAATACACATAATAAAATATTTACAAGGAAATACTTCTTTAATTATTTTATTTTTTTATTGGGAAATTTATTAAAAATTAATGAAGACCCAGATCACAAAATCTAAAAAAATCTAGGTATGAGAGCTACAATCAAATTGAATGTTTCTACAACTTTTGTACAACAAAATACTAAAGAATCTCTCTTAATGATTTTGCTTTCTTTTTTCATTTTTCTTTGTATTTTGAAATTTGCTACTAATTACATGAATTTGCAATTCACGTTAATGAACTCGACTGAGATTGCTGAAGAATGTTCCCACCGCCTTAATAAAACATATATTTACAATGAATTTAATTATTTAAACACTTAACTTATCATTCTCTATTGTTTATATTATAAAATTTATTTGAAAATCGATAAATCGTGACTCACGCCATAAAATTTAGATGTGAGAACTGCTAAATTAAATACCAAGAATATATTGGATGCTTTTTTTGTCCACTCATGGCCCATGGTTCTTATATGATAAATTATTAAGAATCTTTTTAACGACTTTGTTTTCCTTCTTTATTTGTACCATGAAATTTTTTATTAATGACATGAATTTGCAATTCATATCGTTGAACTCGGTTGTGATTGTTGAAGAGTGTTCCTATGGTCCTAATATAATAAATATTTACAATGGATTACTTCTTTAACTACTTTGCTATTATTTTGAATCATGATATTTATTAAAAATTAATAAATCATGACTCACGTTACAAAATTTAAACATGACAATTATTAAATAGAATGTTTTTGTGACTTCTATTCAATGAAATATAAAAAATCTCTCTAACAACTTTGCTTTCCTTCTTTATTTGTCCCTTGAAATTTCTTATTAATTAGTCACATGAATTTGCAATTCATATTATTGTGCGTGGTTGTGATTGCTAAAGAATGCTCCTATGGCCCTAATATAATAAATATTTACAATGATTTAATTCTTTAACTACTTTACTTTATTTCTAGGTTTGCATCATGAAATTAATTAAAAATTAATGAATTGTGACTCACGTCACAAAATTTAGGCATGACAGCTATTAAATAGAATGTTTTGATACTTTCATATAATAAATTATCAAGAATTTCTTTAACAACTTTATTTTTCTTCTTTATTTGTACCTTGAAATTTCCTTTTAGTTAAATGAATTTGCAATCACATTTTTGAACTTTGTTGTCACTATTGAAAAGTGTTCCCATAAACTTAATGTAAAATGCATTTACAAAGAATTACTTTGACTACTTCGCTTAATTTCTTTCTTTGTTTGAATCCGTTAAATTTACTAAAAAAATTCAATAAATCATACCTCATCACACAAAATTGAACGTGACAGCTATCAAATATTTCTACAACTCTTACCATACGATTCACATTGATTAAAGCAACACTGAAACCAGAGATGGAGTCAAGGAGTTGGCTACTTCTTGATCTTCAAATTGAGGAGTCGCCCTTAATAATATGGTAACTCTAAAAAATTTTCCTGAAAAATACGTAAAGTTTTCAATTTTACATCTCAATAAACACCTCCAAAGATGAGACCTCTCAATTCATGCGTCTTATTTTCCACACCCTAACAAAACACGAACACACTTCGCATGCCCTCAATTTTCATGATTCGAGGATCCCTAAGCATACCCTTTCTGCCATGATAGACTAACAATATGAATCCGTAGCCAATAAAAAATCAGTAATGTGATTTGTCGTCACCAAGAAAAAGGCACAACAAAAGGCCAAAGATAGTTGGTCCACCAAGTTAGCAACAGGTTCTGTCCTATACTGACTTTACCAGACAAATTAACGGAAAATAATTAAAAGATAATTAATATTTTTTGTATTATTTTATTTGTCTTTATATGATTAATTTTTTTATTTTATTAAAATTTATAATATTATATATATTTATTTAATAATATATAAAAATTATAAATAAAAATTATTCACACATCAACACTCAAAACTAAAATCAAACAAGATGAAAAAGAAAAAAAAAAAGAGGACTTAAAACTTCAATAGTCAAATAAAAGTTTCCAGGACTAGCGACGTGGTCCGTCCACGTTTAAGTCAAGTCATCGCAATAGTATTAGTAAACTTTGCTTTCGTAATGCAAAAATGAGCAGCCTTCGTCATCCCCTATGACGCATGAGATGGAAGACGTGTATTTCCACCATGACAAGATTGGGAGGAGGAAAAGTAGGGAAGTTTGTGGGTTTTGTTTTACATGATTGATCAGGAAAAATGTTATGAGTTCTTTTTTAGGTTTCGTACGATTTGGTCATTTAGCTTTTTTCGTATTTTTCCTGGGAGTCCAAGCATCTTCCTGGGGGAGGAAATGAAAGTGTTGAGCATAAAGCAGGCATTAAACTTTTGTCCAATCGTGCTTTGCATTTCATTGGTTTTTAAAAGTCTATAGAGGAACTTTTTCGTTCTTTGTGACGATTAAAATTATATATCCTAATATTTGGTGAGATACCTAATTACCTTCTTTAATAATTAAATAAATCAAC